AGCAATCCAAAAATAGATGATCATTATGCTACAGAAAAGCTGCAAGTAGAAGTTTTAGCATATACAGACAACACAATATGGGTAATAAGTAGCCAAGAAAATATGCAAAAAACAATTGATATATTAAATAAGTTTTACGAGCTAAATAATATTGAAATAAATCCAAACAAAATGGAACTTGTAGTTATAAAACTAAATAAACGAAAAAATACTAAGGATCCTTATATTTGGGCAAGCAACCCAAAAGTAAAAATCTTGGCAAAGAACCCAAAAAAGTTTACTCACTTTTTAGGAGTCTGGATATCAACAAAAAATCAGAAAAGATCAGATATTTACAAAGCAAGAAAAGAGATAGCCAAAATAACAAGTCTTTTTAAATTTAAAAAAATGTCTCTTAGTCAGATTATATATATAAACAATATTGTACTTGTGCTGATTTTAGAGTATAGACTCATAATTTCTTGTCTAATCAAAGCCAATATAATAGAATATATCAGCCTATAGTATGTTTGACCAAATGGAAGTTGTCAATGCTCTCGATAGCAGCAAATGCAATTTCAAAACATCCAGAAATAGTAAATCTTAAAAGTTTGTAGAATAGACATATAGAACATCACTTTTTAGAACTATTAGTAAGAATAAATGCAGAAGAGCCTGTGGAAAAATCCACACTAATAAGACTAAAGTAAGGACAATTAAAAATGGCATGGCCAAATACATTTTGACGAACCAAGCACTACTAAAGAAATGTGAGACTAAACTAAAGAATCTAGGTTTGCAGATCTTATAACAAGCAAAGGCACTAGACTTCTTAATAGAAGAAAACAATTTTACAAAAAGCTAGAACTCTGAGCTTCTATTAGGAATAAATGATCTTGAAGCAGCTGAAATTCTAGAGAGAAGTGATCTTTCATATAAAGAGTTAAACACAAGCAAACTGGGAGTTTTCTATCTGTCACAGCTTATAGTAAAAGATGACAAGTCAATGTATTGTATTAGGCTAAAAAGCTATAAAAAAGATAGCTTTTTGCCCTTCTAAAAGACAGTTCTCTTGCTACTTTAATTTCCTTTAAATAAACTCATATTTATCTATTCTTATCTTAATATTATTACCAAAATTATTTCCTTTTTTTATTTATTTTTATGTTTTTATCTTTTTTTTTAATAAATTCTTTTTCTTTTTTGAAATAATATAAAGTAAAAGCTGGTTTCAGAAATAGTATTTTGGCAAAATACTAGCTTATATTATTCGGAATTTAAAGGCCACACATAGCCGTAGATGGTCTGATTGTTAGTACTTCTTCTTTTGGTTATATCCTAGGATATTTCTAAGTTTTAGCGGCTAACATATTCTTGTAAAGAACAAGTAATTACAGTCATACCTGAGTTATATCCCTACTGGGTTATATCCCAACCTGAGTTATATCTCTATTTTTTAGCAAAATAAAATTTCTTTTTTTATATAGTTTATATATTGAGTTATATCCCCACCTTAGTTATATCACCAAAAATGCTCTGAAAAAAAGGAGTGATATAACTCAGGCATAACTGTACTACGTCTAACCCATACAAACTGACCAATAGGTTTAATCTCTCAAACCCTATCGCCTATTGATAACTTCTTATAGTACTTTGAATTTAAATTCTATTATACAAATTGTTTATCTTCTTTTCTTTCATTATTCTCTTTAAATAAAAGATAGTCCACTCGATACTCATGACTTTAAAGTTTGCTAAAGCTTAATAGTTTTTAGTAAATTTTACCACAGTATAGATAGCAATAGATTAAGTAAATATACAATATAAACAAAAGAGGAAGAAAAGCAAAATGGTTTAGCAACTTAGAAAGAAAAATAATCATAAACCCACTTTCTAAAGAAGTCAAGTCAGAGTTCAGAATTGCATCTCATGACAGAAACAATCTTAATTTAGTTGTAAAAAAAGTTAAAAAAGATAAAAAAACAAAAAAGTAGATTATATAGAAAGACAAAGAAAATGAAAATACCAGAGTTGGAAAGTTAAAAAAAAAGAAAACAAGTACATAGAGGTTAAAAACTATAAAGAATTAGTAAAAACAAGCTCAAGTTTTGAGCAAAGTTCTCTAGAGTATAGTAGTAGACTAGAAACATCAATAGTTAAATAAAAAGAGCTAAGAGATATTACAAACTTTGTACAAAAAACAGAGAAAGAAGCAAAACTGATCTTCAATATAGATACTCTTGAAAAAATATTAGAGAAGAAGAAGGGAAAATATTGGTATCATCTAAAGAGTTACAAAGTATAAAAAGAAAAGATATGCCGATAATAGAAGTTGAAAGCTAGGAAAAATTATTAATAGATAGAGTAGTTATAGACAAAGAACTTAAAAATAGATTAGTTAAATTTTAGAGCAAAATAGAAAATTTGATAGTTTTTTATATTACATAGATAGTTCACTCAGGATATCAGAAAATGATCTCAAAATACAAATAGGTTGTGGAATAATCCAAATAGCAGAGGGGGTCAAATCATTTATCAAATAGCATATATAACCAAAAAGTAGTTTTTTTCGACTAAAGTCAAGCTAGTAGCGATTCTCACTGCCTTATTAGTAACACCAAAAAAAAAAAGATTAAAATCAGAACAAATGTAAAGCAGCAATCTTAGCAATCAAAAAAGGCCTTGAATCAAATAAAACAAGACAGTAGCTTAAAATTAAAAATAGCGGCCTTATTGTAATGCTAACAAAAGTAGTTCAGACAAAACAGCTAAAGCTACACCTTACCAAAGTTAAAGGACATTTAGACAAATTTTTTAATAACCTGGTAGATTTCAAAGCCAGAGAAGGTGCATCCAGTTCAGAATTTTTGATCTTAGCATTACTAAGTACAAAAGGATAAAAACTAAGATTGAGATAGAAAAACGAACTAGTAAAAAAGCCACTATGATCTTTTACCAAGATGCTTAGAAAAGTAATAAACAAGACAAAATAGATATTCGTACACAATATTCAAACTACTACATACAAAGAAAGAAAGACTTATCAATACTAGTCAATATTCTATGAATTTTTAAAAAGTGGAACTAAGTAACAAAATCATATATTTAAATTAAACAATATTTATTTTTGAATTAAAATATATAAACAATTTACTACTGGTTTTTGAAAGACTAAATCAAAGAAAACCAGACGTTTACAAAACGAACAAATATGTAGTATGTAAAAAAAAACTAAGAATATTGAATATTTAGTTAGTTGTGAAGTCTCACTCGGATTACTGTGTAATATAAAAGAACAAGAAGTAGATCTAATTCTAAAAAAGCTCAAAAAAGAAAGCAACATAAGCAGAAAAAAAGAAGATATTCTTGTAATGTTAGAAAAGAAAGTACATCTGAAAAGCTAAGAAAAAGAAAAAGATAAATTAGAGGTCTTATTACAATTGATAATGTTGAAGAGTTACATCTATTCTTTGACTCTAACAACCAAGCAAAAGATTTTATAATTCAGCTCTGGAAGAATTAGATAAAGAGGATATATGAGATAATATAGGTTCCTAGATACAAACTCATACAGAAATAGGAAAAAAAAATAGCATAGCACCCAAAGAAAAGAAGAATGCCATTTCAAAATCTAAGTAAGAAAGAAAGAAAAAGAAGAAGACTGCAGACAAGAAGTAAACCATATCTAACAAATCGCTTGAACAAAAAAGTAAAAAAAAGAAGAAAATAAAGATGAACTACAATATTAGAAATAGTAAGAAATGAAGTATTAAATTAGATTTTAAATGGTCAATGTGCAAAGTGATGAAAAAGCAATTGGTAGTTTTAACAAGCTGTAAGAACCTTCTGTCAAAGTATTAATGAATCCAAGTACAAGATGAGTTAATATGAAGGCAAAACTTACTATAGCAGGTCACACATAGGTGTTTAGAGATATGAACCAAAAAAAAAAAACACTAATCTGTTAACCGAACCAAGTTGTTTGCAGTTAACCGATTACAACTGGTTATGTCATGTTTTATTTTAGCCAATCAGCATTAACTGTAATATCATGTCATAGTTGATGCTAATTGGCTGACTTAATTACCTATTTGATTTAATAGTCATTCGGGATTAGCTAATGCTACTTAACTTGCTTGGCTTTGAAACTAGGTACTCTATTCAGATCGGGTTTTGGATCATAGTAGTTATTATTAGGCAGAGAATCACAGTTGCTTATATTCTATACTCAAGCTTCGTTTATCACACTCTAATCAAAGTTTATAATTTATCAATCTAACTTCAATTTTGTTAATTTTATGAATTGATATTAGAAATCAAAGTATTTATAAACAAGGTTATACTTGAATAATTTTAGTTATCTGTTCCAAGAGAAAAAATATCGCTTTTACAGTAACAAAAATTCAAAAAAAGTATTACAAGATAAGTGAGCAAATTAATATAAATTTTCATATTACTACTTGTCCAATAGATATATTTTTTATTCTGCTTTTAAATACTATTCAAACTTTACTTAATAAAACCTGTCTTTAGGTTTAGCTTGAAGAATTTTCGTACTTATAATGTTTTTAAGTCAATTAAATATTTGAAATATATACTATATATAGTATAAAAATAGCAATTCAAATTCTTGGATGATAAGTATTAACTGTTTATTCTTAATTTTTGTAATACATTATCTTGTAATGCTTATTAGCTCTTACAAACTAAATCTATACAATTTTAGTTTGTTTTTTTTAATACAAATGAGAATTTGAGAACATGTTAATAAAATTATCATTTTTTTTTTAGAAACAACATCTGAGAAACCAATTTTGGCTTTAAATTAGTACGTCGTGGAGTAATGTGGTTTTCAGCATCTGAGAAGAGATGCTTACTAGGGACAGAGGTAGCAGATATGCTTAGATATTTTCTAGCAAGCTTTGAAAGCCTTGGAAATTAGATTTCTTGTTTTTTCCACCAAAAGAGAGGGTCTGAGTCGCAAGTAGCTAGTTTTGTTTGTCTTAAATCAAGATAACAGTCTAATTCATCATTTGAATCTAATGGACTTTGAGTAGTATCAAATATAATATCTTCAAATATATTTTTAGAAGAATAATTTGTAGAATCAGAAACAGTAGATTTTTCAGATACACTACAGGGCTAATAATTAATAATTATTAGTTAGATAATTTAATTTCAGAAATATAAAAATTTACAAATTGATATCTACTTCTGATGATTTAAATACTTCATATACTTTATCTATTTGTATATCTATTAATTGAAGTTGATGCCAACATTCATTTATAGTATCATTACAAACTTCCTTACTTGCAAAAGTCATTTTCTTCAACCATGGATCTAGTAATGTAGCAAGGTGACAAATTTTTAAAGGATTATCCCAATACTCAAATAATGAATTATAGATATCAGTCTGTATCTTTTTAATAGTTAAATCAAGGTTAGTTTTTAATATGTCAAATTGACTCTTTCGCAATCTAGTATTGTGTATTACAATAGGAGTTACCTTTATATCTGATAAATCTGATGACTCAGTAGAATTTTCTGATTCTGAATCATAATTAGGTACTTCTTAAAAATATATAACCAAATTAAAATAAATTTAATGAAAATAAAAATTTTATAAAGTAAGTATTTTATTTACCGTTACTGTTTAGTATTAAATCATCATTATCAAGATCTATATTTAATGCATAATGACTTTTCATTGCTTTCATTAAAGAACAGATAAATGCTATTGTAGGATATCGTGTAGCACTAAAGTATTCCATAGCACTATTAAAAGGTTGCAATAGGTCAAGTATTCTTTGTACAAAATCTCATTCTATTTCATGTAACATCAATTGTTGCAATTTCTGACCATCTTTTTGTGCATCTAAGTTACCTAGAGATAAGGTTGCTACAAGCCATTTAATTGCAGATCGTAACTCTAACAAACATTTCCATGAATTATATTTAGAGTTCCAATGTGTTGAAACATCTTTAACATTTCGCAAAATAGAAACAAACTCTTTGGCTTCTATCAAGTAAGATTCTATTTTATCTTCAGAATTTTCTGAATCACTATAATCAGATTCACTAGACAGAACTAGATTCAAAAAGCTTTTATTTAGGTTTTTTTGCTTATATATCTCTATTTGTGCTATCTCTAATCTTTGGTTTTGCTTAGAAGAATCAAAAAATTTAACTAATTTACGAATTTGACAAATTTGAGGGCGATATTTGGTCAATACATGATTTATTGTCAATTGTAATGTATAAGCAGTGCAGGATAATTTATCTATATCATTCCAATATTTAATAGCCGCAACTATGTTGGTGCTATTATCAGTTACTACACAAGTAACTTTATTTTGTAATTTGAATTAATTAACTTTACTAATGAGAAATTTTCTAATTGCAATACTAGTATAAGGGTATATCATTGGTTCTATACAAAGCAAAATTTCATTTAATTCAAATTGCTTGTTTAGCCAATGTGCTGTGATGCTAATATATCCTGTTTTATTTCGTGCTGTCCAAAGATCTGTGGTTAAAGAAACCGTTTCACAGCTTACTTCTAAGAGATTAAGTATTTGATTTTTTGCATTTGTATTTTCAAATAATACAGTCAATCCTTTCTAAATGCAATTTGCACAGACTATATAGAAATTTTAAAAAATCTTGTATTTATGAAAATATTGCATTTAGAGAGGTAAAAATCTATAAGTGTTGTTAAGGGCGAAGTCGGCGAGTCTGTCGCTAAAAGACCAGAAATCTCGCGTAACGTCGGGGATAGGCTTTAATAGA